ATAATAATAAAATAATAATAATAATAATAATAATAATCAAAGCCGAAAGATTAGGCCGCTAACAGTAAGTTTCAACACTTACCTCGCTACATAAAACCGATGCTCAAGGATAAATCCACTATCATTACGAGAATAAATAACAGTCAGTAATAATCCAGTCTGTGCGAACACAATCACTCAATAATGATAATGATAATAATAATGATAAGCTCGTAGCGAAAGTCACATCACTGTCTTTCCTTCCTTCACTCAATGCGTCATCATGCACGGAGGGGGGACAGAGTGAGAGAAGAAGGAAGTGCAGTAGAGGAAAACACTAATATTTAGAGTTTGGCAGCGCTTCCTCCCCCTGTTGTCGTACTCCTCCTCCTCGTCCTCCTCTCCTCCACAGCTCGTGTTGAACAACGCGAGGCAGCCACGAGAGCGCGCCACTGACTGCCTGCCACAGCTTCGCTCTTCTCTACGCGCGCGCGCGCACACACACACGCACCGACGGCGTCGTCGTAGGTCGTAGTTGTCCCGTCAGTTGGTGCGCTCGTTCGTTTTTTCGTTCGTCCGTTCGTCCGTCCACCACTCCGTCGTAGAACAGGGGCGAGAAGTGTCGACAGTCGGCGGTAACGGTAGTATCAGAATCTCTGCTAGTAGTAGTGCTTGGACGCCAAACCTCTAGTGTTGCGCGCCTAGTCCGTAGAGCCGTCTCGCTTCCGTGGCGAGTCCACAACGTACAGTTTCCGCTTTGCGATGGACATACGTACTGCGGAAATGTCTTCTGTGTGAACGGCCACCCTGAATTCGCTACCTCAGAAATACAAAGTTGTTTCTAACATAATTTTTGGTCGTTTTGTTGAGTTATTATGAATATGAAGTCAGAAACGAGATGTATGTTCTTTTTCTTCTCTATCAAAATCGTAAGATTATTTGGAGTCATTATCAGAATGTTCACAATGGCCAGTCTGACAACCAAATACATGTAGTCAATCAAAGCGAGCTAATTAAATTCCTATAATGCAAATTCGACCAATTAGAACAGTCGGACCATTATGCGTCCAACTTAACATTACCCCCCCCCCCCTTCCCGTGTCGTAAGATTATTCGGAGTCATTATCAGGATGTTCAAAGAATTGCATTGAAAAAGCTTGACATGGCGCGCAATTTACAAATTTTCACGTCAAATGTATCCAAACTAGTACTTAGCAGAAAGAACAATGTAATCCTAGGGTAGCACTTTGTTGGGGACAAAAATCACTGTATTAGACAGGCGCTATATTAGACAGTACCATTGTACAGTAGTAAAACAGCGCAAAGGAAGGGAGGAGAGGGAGGGGTGATGGGAAGTGGAAAGTAGCCATTTGTACCAAAATGATTGTCTTATACAGGTGGTCGTTAGAGCAGGTTTGACTGTAATACCAGAGACAAACATAATCATTCAAGACTAGCTGGGCCCCCTTTCGATGATAGGAATGATCGGTCCGTTAACATCAACTGAAAGCCATTGGCGCACAATATTTACAGTCTACTGGAATGGAGCAATAAATCTTGAGAGAAAAGTGACACATGTGTTTCCAAGTTGCCAATTATATAAAAGATGTATAGATTGATTCTATATTCCGCTTTCGTGGTTGTACACTCCAGAATTTCAGAGATGTGGAAGCACAGCACAGCTAGTGAACAGAAACCTCACTTGTTTACTGTGGCGTCTTAGAAGACGGACTTTCCCAAGATTAGATCTAAACGAAACTAATGAAAAACTAAAACTTAAACTACAGAGACTTCAGACTCCTCAATAAAACTGTGCACCCTTTAAATAATTCTGAACCACCTTTAATTTTTTGTCAAATTCGAAAGTTAAGGGGTTCCGAAGTTTTAGGCGGCCAAAGTGACGAACTTTCACAATAATGTGTTTAGATGATGAATCGGCTACGTACAGTCTTTACATTATGACGTATATCATACTAAAATGTTCAATATACTCGTGCCAAGAACTTAGCCTAGTGGTTAGGCTACCGGACTCATAATCGTGAGGTTGCGGGGTTGGGGGGTTCGAGCCGTAGGCCAGACGTTGTGTTCTTTGGAAAGGCACTTTACACGAATTTTCCTCACTTTATCCAGGTGGGAATGGGTACCCGGCCATAGACAGCGAAAGATCTTGTCAGTATGTTAGTGTTTTGGCGCCTATAAATGGCCACTTGCACTGTATGCTTCCCTGGATGTTGAGGTAGTTTCAGAATGCTCTCAGGTCTGCTGGGGTTGTTGTTGTTGTTGTTGTTGTTGTTGTTGTTGTTGTTGTTGTTATCGATCCAGCAACAGCTGGGCTCTCGCCTTTCTGTCCAATGCCATGTAGTGATAAGTGCAGGTCTGCTGCAGTTGCTGTAATGTTCCAAAGAGTGTGTTGTCTGTGTTAGGTCTCGGAGGGAGAAGGGTAGCTCTGATGTCATTTAGGGCTGTGCAGTGGAACAGGATCTGCTGGGGTAATAGTATAGATTGTGAAGCGCATAGAGCTTGCCGTTGAGCGGAGGTTTGCGCTGTGCAAATGCTATCTATTATTATTAACATAAAATTATTGTGGGGTTGTTGTTTTTTGTCCTGCGTCATGATAGAGACATTTACGTTAACTCTTTGAAGTCATGCATTCTGCAATCTGGTCATTCAACAACGTTTGTAGGTGAACTGTTTCTGGGCACTTTACTTTAGAATAAGAAGAATAGCCCTGACAGTCTTACAGGTATTTCAGCTGGGTTGTTTTTTTTTTAAATCTAAAACTTGTTTTGTTTGTTGTTTTGAGAGTGTTACGGCACTTACAAAACGCCCCGCTAATACCAGAGGTTGTTGGGTTTTTTTATACAGGTGTTGCTCCGCCTCCAATGACACACTTACTTGATCATTTAGGCAGTTGAGGTGGGGGGGGGGTTACTTTTTTGGAGGGAGGGTTTTTTTAGGGGGGGAGGGAGGGGTATCACCTCACTGGTAGGTCCTACTTCTTCTCTTTCCCCTGTTGGAATCCATCTGCCTGACTTTCCCCTGCACTAAATGACCTTTATTATGTCGAGGTGCTTCTATTAATAGATTTACTCACACATCGTTTAGGGGGCGGGCTTCTGAAGCTGCCTGTCAGGGCAAAGTCGGGCTAAGAGGGATACATCATTCAGGCAGAAAAACCAAGACACTAGATAAAAATCCCTCCCTACTCGGGAATTGAAGTTTTCGACAACGTAGAGTCTAACCACTACACCACAGAAGCCGGTCATCAAGGTCAGTGGATGCATTGGTAACGTGGTAACTGTTTCATGCAGATGATATAAGTTCAATTCTCGAAACGATAAACTTGTTTAGCATAATAAGTAGTATGGCACTATATAGGTCCAACACTATTAGTTTATTTTAGAGGTGGGGGCCTCAGGATTCAATCCCATCCGCACGTCGTGTTTTACGATCGTATCCATATGACAAGGGGAACTCTGTGCCACCAGTTTCCAAATAGGAAATTTACTCGTTAATCCGATCCGTACACTTTGCATAGCAGTCTGTCAAAATGATTTTTTTTAGAAATACTGAAAGTTTCAAAGAGATTTTCGTACTAGAAGTGTTGTAAAATGTGAAGAATACAACTTTGGGGGTACAAAATAGCCCCAGGGAGTACGGATAGGGTTAACGTCCTTTTTCCGTTAAGACCGAGCCTAATGGATCGAGAGCCTCGAAAGCTACCCCAAAAGGCCAAAGATCAAGAACACCCAGTCTGGGATTTGAACCAGGACCACCTTCTCCGTAGCCTAGCACGATACCAACTGAGCTAACAAAGCGCCCTTTTGCATAAGTGTTCCCTTGAAAGCTCTTAACATGTTTTTTTTAAAATTTGCTTTGTTTTCCCCCTCTCCCTCTCCCTCCCCCCCTCTCTCTCTCTCTCTCTCTCTCTCTCTCTC